ACTCAACAACAATCTATCTAGCCGAAAAAAAAAGATTGACCTCTATTTTTATACCAGGTAAAATTTTGTCCCACCATCAGGATGTCCACCAAATTCATCCCATTTACAAACTCTATAAATTCGAGTCTGGATTTTTCATTGTCACTGTTTCCTATAATTTATTCCTCATATAACATGGAATTAAAATAAGCCTCCAAGCACCACCAACCTTCCCCTTGCTCCCATTTTTCTCTCAAGCAACCCCACACCCCCCTTCTAGCACTTACTTCATTCGGGGCATAGACATTAACCAAATTAAAATGTTCTAGCTTTCCAACCCTGTCTTCTTTAAGACAAATAATTTGATGCGTAATTTCAACTACTTCTAGATCTAACGCCACATCCCAAAAGCACAATAGTCCACCTGATGATCCCTGTGCTGGACTCCCACAGAACTCCATAGTTCTCTGACCGCATAATCCTCTAATTAACTGCTCCCCGTACAATTGTATTTTCGATTCCTGAATAAAATAATATCTAGATGTTCTGATCGTACAAGCTTGGCCACCTTATATTCGAAAGTTGAGGTGTGAATGACATGAGAAAGTGGTCAGATATGGTAAAAGGTTGTGGTTGTAGACCCTGAGTAGTTATCACAATTATTTATACTCTTCTACTGGTGATTTTTCAGGTCGAACACACGAATTTTAAATCATGAATTTCAACTTGAGTACAGATCTTGTAAAAGCGGCAGAGAATGCAGTAAAGGGACCTGCTTTGCAACGGATCAAAAATTCTTATTGTATGGAAAACGGTAAGTGAAAGCGGTAAAATATTGTGGAGGCAAGCGGCGTGGAGGTAAGCGGTGAAGTGCCAGTTAGGGAAGAGCGGATGAGACATGAGCGAGTGGCACAATGCATGTACTTATGTATATAGAGTGAGCGGTAAAGAGTGAATGAGAATTGTTGTGTCTGGACTGTGCGTTACTTAATGGTTAGGTTTTCCTGGATGAAATGAATGAGCGATGTTGCTGTGTTAACGGATGTATATGTATAATATGAAAACGGGGAGAGATGAGGATGTAATTATATAAACCCGACTATAGAGAATTCTTATCACTGGTATCTGACCTTAAGGGATTTACAACAAGATTTCAATGACACTCAGAATCGAAACATTATAAGAAAGAAACCTTACTTTCATTATGAATTTCTGCGACCTAATAGACCACCGCCTATGCCCTATTAATTTTTCCAAATTCTGTCTCATTAGTGGCTTTACCCTTCTGTTACCCCTTTTTAATCAAAATTGAATTCAAACCAGTAGTTAAGCAGGTCGACAAGGCTATTGCGTACTTAACTACATTGAACTACCTTGAAAATGCTTGTGGCAAAAGACAAGACTTAGATAAACAATTTTTCTGTGTTTTAAACCAGTGAGACAAAATTCTTTACAATCAAGATTCATATAAGTATGAAAAAGTATGAAAGAATTGGGTATGAAGAATTAAATGATATTTCATTACTTACTAGTAAAGCTGGAAGTTCTAACTATAGAAAACTGTAAACGAAAGCAATAAAACTACACTAAGTAAGCAGCAAAATATTGGCCAAGGGAGAAGGGGAATCCCCACTCCCTTGGCCATTCTTGTGGAGAACTCCCTTACAGGGTTGGAGCTCTCGGAAAACAGGAAGACAACTAGAATGCACAAGAAAATTAATCGCTAGTATACTCCAATCGAAGTATATCTACATACAGATATCTGGCTCTATTTATAGTAGGTAAAAGTAGCGGTTACAAGCAGTTATACGGTGGTTTCAACCGCTAGGCAGTTAGGCATTTGACGACGGTTATTCTGTTGAGGCAGTTGCTGGCCATAACCCATAGTGTGCTCGCTCTGCTTGTATGGATTTGTAAGGGCCCAGATCTTCCTCGTTTGCCGGATGACTGGAGGGCATCAGCGCAGCTAGACAGGCTTGCTTGTGTTGGCTGGTAATGGAATGGCTGTACCGCTGCAGTAGGACCACTTAGTCAATATTTGAGTTGGACTGATATCACTCTGTAGTGGTGGGTGTCTGGGCCATCGCTTGCGAGCGGGAGAGATTGCCACTTGTGAGCGGTGGAAGCTACCGCTTGCCTCTCTTGCCTTAGTTTTCTAGGTGATGGAATCACCGCTTGTGAGCGAATATGGTTGTCGCTTATGGCGTCTGTCTTAGCTTTTTTGGCACCAAAATACCGCTTAAAAGGGCAAAAATCATTAATAATCTCGACAAACCAACTCTGGATCATGCCAAGCGATATAGATCAATAAAGTATGCCATTAACCAGTTATTGTGATGGTTTTTATATAGAAATTCAAGTAATACGTAGTTTTCTCAAGCTAAGAATATGCTTATATTGGAGTCATCAAACCCCCAACCCTCTTGTATTCAAAATGATTAGCTTCATAAAGAACCAGAAAATATCTCAGACACTATAAGCCTTTTATTAACTCTCTCTTCTATCATCGCTAGATAGCAATCTTCTTCCACATCTACTATTTCCAATCCTAATCGTCTTGCTAAATTAGATATTTTCTGTGCTTCCAATCTATCTTCCATACTGTCCAAACAGCTATCTTTTTTTTTTTTTTTTTTTTTTTTTTTTTGAGCCTTGCGAATGGTTTACCGTGCCCCCTTTTGGTTGCTCTTCGCGGGCTAAAACTGATAATCGCACCGGATTGGTAATCAAATTTCCATCCAATATCTCCGTAGAGAGATTCCCTGAAACCACCTCCATGCCTAGTTTAGACTCTTTACATCATTCACCTTCGAACGCTTCCCCCTCCGGCATTATCACCCCTTACTTTCACGCTACTTACCTTTTCATTCATTTTTTCATAATTTTCTCCCTCCTTACGGCACTTGGCTCTGAACAAACCTCGATGAAATTTTTTGGACTACCAACCCACCCTGACAAACCCGCCTCCAACCTCTCTTTTATGTTAACAAATACATCTTTTCTATTCTTTGAAAGGTCCTCCGAACCCTTGTTAAAAGCATTCTTTAAAATTTTATTAACATAATCCTACTTCCCGCTTCGGCCATCCAAAGAGCTAGATTGACGAGCTTCTTTGAAGCCTCACAACCAGGATGACGTAGCTATCCCTCTACCCCTTTTGAGCAAGAGAGCTATTTTTTCACTTCTTATTACGTCCAAGTTTATCTTTAAGATTATATGTTTTCTTGTTGTTACCACCTAGAGTCACCATTCTTCACCCCTTGTCAATCATCACTATATGACGACTGTCTGCCCCTCTACCCCTGTCGGACTCTGGAATTCCAACTCAATAGGCCACAAATTTCCTATTTTCAAAACATTTGCCCCTCCGTGGGGCACGACACCGATAGAGTCCTGCAGCACAATATCCTGGATATTCTCCCTTGAATCTCCCTTATGAGCCGAATTAACAACTAAGCTATGAGTACCTGCGAACGGACACAACTCAAGGTTATCTCGATTTGCGCTAGGATTCTCCCAGATAAAATCTAAGTTGATAACGTTTTCTGCTTCTTCCACCTTTAACCCCAGCGAGTACCTCTCCTCCTACCAAGACGTGGAATGTCGTTGGCACCCTCACCTTTCTCCCCAATAACACGAGGATTTTAGCAGAATCTAAACGAGCTCGTTCTTTGGTACTTTCGTCCAACCCAATGAATTCTCCCCATTCCGAAACTAATCTACGAAATGAAATTCCCCCCAAGATTGTATCGGAAAGCAGCTCACCTTAATCCATTCTATCCGTTGGAATGACTTTAAACCCGAGTCCCACTGTTTTTTTCCATAATAACTGTTGTTAGCACGAAGGGTCTGAAATTTTCAGAAATTCATCTCTAGCTTCCAAAGAATCAAATTCAGTCAATAACAACCTTCCTCCCATATACGAGAGACTAGAACACTGATCCAGACTTTCAAACATTAACCTCGAAAGAGTTTTCAAGGATAATAAGTCTCTAACTCCAACTACCGTTGAAGCTTTTAGCACCTCCACCATTTCTGGATTTGGGGCCAGTTCCACGAGGTCGACGCACTCCTTTGCCGATGGAACCGTTCCACCTGATTCCCCGAAGAAAATTTCATCCGAACCCTTAACTGCTTTCACATAGCTTCTCTTGTCCCTCAGACCTGGTCTCGAAACTCTTCTGTATGAGTTCCCACCCCCGTCTCTTATTGTCCTTCAAATTTAGACGAAAATATCTCCATTTCCACCGCCACCCATTAAACCTACTGATCGTCTTCTCTGCTTTTCTCTATCATAAAGGAAAAAAAAAATATTTTTTTCGCCTGTTAAACAAAAAAAGTCCTAATGTTTTTTCTAGTTTTATACAATTTTTTCTATATTTTCTATTATAAAAATCATAAAGTAACAAAAAAAATATTCTATTAAAATCAATGACAAATACAAATGAGTATATTTAATTTTTCATTTTTTAATTTTTAATTTTTATTTTTTTACGAAGGAATGAGTACTTTTTATTTGTATAATTATATAAGTATAATATTATTCTTTACAATATAGTATTCATATTAAATATGTTTTATTGGTTATAAATTTTAAAATATTTTAATATATATTTTTAATCAAATAGTGTCTTAATTCAATCATTAATCAAATTAAATCACATTCCAAACAATAAAATCAAATTTCTAACCGTAACCAAACATTCCCTAAACTTCCAAGGGCCACGATCAAAGCATCATTCATCCGACGGCTAAAAATGAGCGCAGCCATTCTCAGGCAAGCCGCGGTTGTCGGTCTCCGACACCACCCAAATTACTCAAACGCATTACTCACATGGCAATGGCATATCCTCCCAAAATTGTTCCGCCGACGTCCGCCACCACCGCAACCACCGTCTCCGGCGGCCCTAGCAATCCATCCATCCACATTATTCATCAATCAATCGATTGCAGAAACCAGAAACTAAATTAATTAATTTAAAAAAAAAAAAAATCAATAAGCCAAATTATTTAATGAATGAATGGCGCACGTTAGCAACTGCCTGCTCGCAATCTTCAACCTCCTCTCGCTCCTCCTCTCGATTCCGATGGTCGTCGCGGCGGCGTGGGCGTGGCGCGTCTCCGCCACGCACTGCGGCCGGTTCCTGCAGGCGCCGTTGGTGACGCTGTCGGTGGCGGTCCTGGTGATCTCGGCGGCGGGGCTGCTGGGCGCCGCCCTACGGCTGACGTGGCTGACGTGGGCGTACATGGCGGCGATGTCGGCGGCGATCGCCGGAATTATGGCGGCGACGGCGCTGGCCTTGGCGGTGGTGCGGGAGGGGAGGTCCGGCGTGGAGGCGATCCCAGGGAAAGCGTACGTGGAGTTCAGGGCGGAAGGGTACTCAGAATGGCTGAGAAATAGGGTTTTCGGACATTGGGATACGATGAAGAGGTGCTTGATTCAGGAAAACATCTGCCGATCCATGGCGGACGACCATGCCGCCATGTCCGCCCGAGAGTTCTACTCCAAACCCCTAAATCCTCTGCAGGTACGCACCTGAAATTTACACTATTTTCCTTCCATATTATTATTATTTTTTAAAAAACTCTATAATTAATATTATTTTATAAAAATATAAATATCATATCAAATTATTATTTTTAAATTTTAAGAAATCTAAAAAAAAAAGCATACCTAAAATCCCATGCCTAAGAGATTATTCTCTGCGAAACTAATAATAATTTTATTATTCATTGTGATGTGCTTACATGAACTTAGAGTGTGTTTCTTTAAGGGCTTTTCCATAAATTTGAATTTGAATTTGATTTTCATTTGAATTTTGAAGTGGGTTTGAATTTATACGATTATTTTGTATTTAGGTTTAGGTTGTGTTTGAAGAGTTTTGATGTGTACTAATTTGATGGTAATGAATATAATAATATAAATGTAAATTAATTTATATATCTTGATTATAAATTTATATTATATCTATGTATATATTTCTAAATTTTTATTTATTTCTATTATAAAAAAAAAAGAAAAAACAGACTATCAGCCACTGTCCTCCAAACCCAGTCTGTAAAATTGCACATGAGAAATACACTCTTAATATGTAGGCATATATAACCAAATAATTATGGTTTTCAATAAAAGTCTTTTTTGTATGTTATAAAAAATATATATCTATTTTTTTTTAAAAGTGAAAAATCATACTTTTTTTTTTATACTATGAAAGACTAAAAAAAATACATTGAATTAAAATTTGTGTCCAAATCAAATAAGTTTATTTTTACATAATAGATGAGCATATAATAGATTTTGTTTAAACAGAAATTTTAGAATTTTAAAACATTGAAAATAATATAATTTGAATCTGGTGCTAAATTAATAATTTTAGAACTTTCAAAATAATGTAACAACTTGGATCAGGTGCTGAATATTTTAGTTCACGCAACCATGCTGATGTTTAACAACTAGATACATACAAATATATTAATTATCTTATTTAATAATAAAAATTAAAATAATAGAATTTTAATTATTCATTACGGGTTAATTCAGCACCCCAACTCTTATGATAATATAATTAAAATTTTTATTTAATTTGATATTTTGTAAGATAAAAAATGATTAATATGATATTTTAATAAAATTTGAATGTTGTAAAAAAATTAAAGTATTGTTTATATAAAGGTTTATTAAACAATATATTCATTTTGTTAGACGAATCTTTATTATTATTATTATTATTATCATTATTATTATTATTATTTTGTTGGTTCTGAAAATATGATTGATCACCACTTGATTTTAATCATATTTTTGGGCTATAATTTTGAACTTGGAAGCAACATTACATCCACTAAATTAGCAATTTATATCGGCCGGAATATATGTTCAATTTTTCATTATATTATTCTACACATTTTTTCTTTTATTATTTATTTCTACAACCTTCAATGGTTAATAATTCAGCATAATTCTTTACATAAACCATATATATATATATATATATATATACACTCTCTCCGTCCCACGTAACTTGTTTCTATTTTCTATTTTTGTCCGTCCCACATAATTTGTCCCTATTTTCTATTTTCGTCCATCCCTCATAATTTGTCCTTTCTTTTTTTGAAAAATTAATTATACACTTTAATCATATTTTAAAATTTAAAATTTAAATTTTTTTAATCTTAATTAAACTATCTAGTTATCTTAATCATAATCTATAATTATTTTTACTAAATAATTATTTTTACTAATATATTTCTTAATTAGTTACTAATTATACTTTATCTAAATTTCCGTGTCTACAGTTACATGAGACGGAGGAAGTATATTATTCAAATCATAAGAATTTTTCTTACAAAAATCGAGACATAAAGAAAATGAGATAAACCAAGGGTAGCTAGAGATCAAACAAAGATTATAATTTCCCATTTCACGATGAAAACTATACAATGTACCTAAAAAAACACAAAACAGTTGTGGGATATAGGGTGTGTTTGTTTTGTATGTGTTCAGTTTGAAGTGTTTCTTTAAGTTAGATATGAAAAAAAATGTATTGTTAATATAAAAAAAAAATAATATTTTGTATTGAATTGTTAATTTTTTTAATAGATATATTGTATTTTTTGTAATACTATTTAAGAATTTTATCGAAATTTTTTGATTGATTGAACAAATTCACAATAATTTTAAATATATATATATATATTTTAAATAGTACGAAGATAAAGTTAAAAATACAAGTAATAAGCCAAAGTTATCCATATATAGACTAATTGAAAGATAGTTTTGGATGGGTGCAGTCCGGCTGCTGCAAGCCCCCAAATGAGTGCAAATTCGAATACGTGAGCCCGACAAAATGGAGGGCGACGGACAAGTCTAGCACGGCCAAAAATAATACTATTAATCCTGATTGCGGAGCATGGAGCAACGATGACAACATTTTGTGCTACAACTGTGAATCGTGCAAAGGGGCGATGCTCTTCCAGCTCAACCTAAGCTTGATGAAGTTTGGCGCTGTCGGCATCATCATCCTCAGCTACCTCATCATCGTCTTCGCCGTCGGATGCTGTGCCCTCCGGAATAATAGGAAGCAGGATGAAATGAAAAATGGACAAAGATGACATAATTAATAATTAGATAGGGAGGAGAAAAATTATGCAAATGAAAATTGTTACTTACAATTTTGGTAGTTCGGGTTTATGTTTATTATTTTGGCCTTAGGTAGCAATTTCCTCAGCTTGTTTTGATTCAACTTATTGTAATGATATTTTAGTTATATATATATATATATATATATATAGGGTATCTTTGTTTACAGGTTTGAAATTTAAGTTTGCTGAAAGAAAATAATTCGACATGGTGCTGGATGTTTTTATCTAACACTCAAATCCATATGCATTTAGGTTAGGATTTTAAATTGAAAAAAACAAATCTTTCAATTATATTACTTATGTCACTTTTTACATAAAATTTTAAATGATATAACTTTTATAGTTTTTATATATAATTTTTTTCTTATATCTTATTCAGAATGATTTTATAGATTATATTTAAAAGAATAGGTGAACAAAAGCTATGAAAAGTTTATGATGGAGTAATAGAGGGGTTCTTGACGGGTCTATGAATACGTATGTCGAAATAAATGCATTGAATCTTAGCAATATTTAAGTATTTGCAGCAGAATTAAATCAATGACAAAAGGTGAATATATGCTTAGATCGGTCATCAGATGATCGATGGTTGTTAGAGAAAAAATGCAAAAATTGTAAAAGAAATTGAATACAAAATTTGTTTACTTATTCGGTCATCAGTTGACCGATGGTTGTTAGTGAAAGAATGCGGAGATTGTAAAACAAATTGAATGCAAAGAAATCATTAAAATCATCATTTTATTTTTATTTGTTTGTCCTTACATGCAGTAAATCCTACTAATATTGTTTATATATTTCACGAAAACTTTTCTTCAAATGGGCATGTGTTAATTAGTCATGTCATCTTTAAATTGGAGTTACTAAATATTATCTTTCATTTATAATGTAAATGTTGGGTTTTATTTCACCCCGACCCGATTAAGATCCGATTTGATCCAAAACCAACCCGACCCGGACCGATATAAAATTTTTAAAACTAGAATCTCATCCATATTGATTCATATCCAATCCCTTCTTTTCTCTCTCTCTCTTTTTTTTTTTTTTTTTTTTTTTGTAGAGTTTACCATAATTCGCAAAAAATTGTTCATATCTTTTGGTTTTCCAAAAAATCCGCAACAAGATTGAAGTACTTCTCTGTTCCTTGGTTCAAGCTATATATCTGGTGTGTGAGCGTCGTGAGAGGAAAGAGAGATTAGAAAGTAGTTTTCTTTGTGAAACTCTTATAAAGATCATCTCCAACCCGTCTAACTCCATTTATTCAATTTTACCTCTAAGGTCATCTTCAACCTATCAACTTCATTTATCAGTTTTATCTTCAAATATGCAGTTGCTACATTAATTTTACTCCAACCATAACTCCATTTTTCACTATTATTCCTCAAATATTCAATTTTTCCTATTATTTTAAACAATTTTTTATTTTTATAATTTTAAATAAAATTTTAAAAAATTTTTAAAAATAAAAATTAAATTTAAAAGTCAAATTTATAATTTTAAAAATTAAAAAAATTTAAAAATAAAAATAAAATAAACACACCATAAATGGCGTTTGCTACAGTGCAATGGTGTTACACTATAGCAAACATAAAAAATGGTGTTGCAATTGGCGCCCGATTGGAGACCCATAGCGGCATAAATGGGGGTTGCAACGTCAAAATTGACGTTGCATTGGAGATGCACTAAATATGCAGTTGTTACGGTAATTTTAATTCAACCATAACTAAATTTTTTACTATTATTCTTCAAATATTCAATTTTTCCATTATTTTAAACAGCTTTTTATTTTTATAATTTAAAATATATATTTTTTAAAAATTTAGAAAAATAAAAAATAAAATTTTAAATTAAAATTAAAAATTAAAAAAAATATATATATCTATATATATATATAGCAACGCCATTTTTTTGGCGTTGCTACAGTGCAACACCAAAATTGGCATTGCACTGTAGCAATGCCAAAAAGTGGCGCAAGATTTGGCGTCGGTTGGAGACAACCGACGCCAAATTGGAGATGCTCTAAGCTCACGAGACTACCTTGGTGAAATTAGCTTTTTTTATTCTAGTTTTATTACTTCTCCAAACTTAGTGTCAACCCATTTCCTTATGTGGATTAATTTGTGAGATTTTTTTGGGTTGCATCATGATTGAACCAACATTTTTCTCCTTGTATTGGATGTTGCCTCATTTGGACAATTTGAAGTTGGCGTAGAATGGGCAGTTATCTGAGCCTGCCATAATTTTTCCATATCTTTCAATCGATTTTAGCACTATTTTAATTCTTTCAATTGTTATTATTCCGATTCGATTATTGGTATCTATTTACTAATCTATTGATATTCTTTGTGAGGATTTTTTTGGTTGTAGGAACAACCCGTAGCAATCCTATCGGGAAAGAATTCCCAATTTTTGTATCAGAGCAAGGTTGTAAGCTAGGCACGGGTTCTGTTTTGGTGAATTAGAAATAACTTTATTGCCAAAAATTTTTTGTAACAAAAGGCTAACCTGTACTTCTTATTTGCTAATTAGTTACAGGGTAAGTTGTGATTAAATTCTTTATGATTAAAGTTGTGTTTCTTTTAATGAGTTTAGAAAAAAAAATTTGGTTTGGGTTTGGTATGAAAATAATATTTGATAGGATGTTTTGTTAGAGGAAAAAATATATTTTTTTTGGAAAATGCAAAGTCAAAATAGTAAAATTTAGAAAAACTTTGCTAAAGAAAAAAAATACTAAATCTTGATTTCCAATTATTCTCGAATTTCTTGACACTACTGTCACGTTACTGGTTGCTCTAAGAGTAAGTAAGTAGTTGGCACTAATAGTTTGTGATTTCATGTGGTATACCTTAGTGGTGTAAGTTGGTCTACTCCAAAAGAGTAAGGAGCTGACCACTGATAGTCATTTGTGTGACTCTGTGTGAAATTTGTTAATATAATATTTTTTTTATTGCACGTTTTGATGAAAAAATTGATTTGTTTTTTTTCAATTTGGCAACAAAAGATTAAAGGAATTTTGCCAACTCATTAACTTTTGATGGAAAACTTGATTTTTCAATTTGGGTTGCAAGGAAATTTGGAGCTCTATATATGCAACCTTCTTTTTTACAAGGAGACTAATGATTGACGAAATAAGTTCATTATTGTGGGCTCATCAGGTAGATGACGTGCAGAAGAATGAACCATAGCAGGTGCTTTTCTAGAAGCTCGCCGAAGAAAGTGCATGACATTCAAAGTCATTACTTTTAACTTTCAAAGATCTTGGGTACGTCGGGGACTGACTCCTAAGTACGATCCCTCTATTTCTGCTGTCGTCATTGAACCAACAATTTTCTCCCCTGTGTGGGGTGTTGGCTCATTTGGGCGACTTGAAGTTGGCGCAAAATGAGTTGTGATCTGAACCTACCGGAATTCTTACATATTTTTTGTTTGATTATAATACTGTTTTATTTCTTTCAATTGTTATTACTTTCATCCGATTAATTGGTATTTATTTACTAACCTAATAATATTCTTTGTAAAGATTAATTTGGTTGTAGAAACTGTCTGATGCAGAATAACCGTCTCATCTAAAAGCTCAAACTGTTATGGATACGCATCATTAATTTATATATCCGCAAATGAGAATCCCAAACACGCTGCATCGGATCACGTGTCCAAAGTCCACCTCTGTCCTTCCTGTCCACCCAATAAAAGGAGTAAATGTGGATCTGTTATTTATTTAGTTATTCTTTTATTCTTTTAAAAATTAAAATATGAAGAAAAATTGCAAAAAGATCCCTAATGCTACCCCTCGTTACCAGAGCTGCCGTTGTGGACCAAAAAGCAATTTTGTCTCATCTTCATCTTCGTCTTCGTTTTCCTCATAGTCATCATCAGTCTTCGCACCTCACGTATATGTCGAATTAGGGTTAATTTAGGGATTTTCTTTATAGAAAAAAATAAATAAATTTTGAGATGTTGCAGAGCCTGAAAATAATGGAAGTTATGACATGATTTTGAATTATTATTAGTTTTATTCATTAATTTTTGTAACCAACATAGCAATATTTTCTCAAATCTGATTTATTTGCTAATTTTTTTGTGACATTTCCGGCTGGTTAAGTTTTATGATTTCTGGTTGCTGTCCGTTAAGACCAACAACAAAGACGGCGACGTCTTCTAGAGACAAGTTCCGTATCCGTCATTGATAACTACAAGTACATTGGCAGAGTTAATATCATCCATAACGACAAGACTAACTTTATCATTTTCCGACATGGCTAGCAGTCGTGAACCATAAGAGGAAGTTGCATGAGTCATGGTAGGTCGATCGAGGAGATCAGGTTTAATGCCAAGTTCTTTAAGCCACCAAAAAAAAAAAAAAAAAAAAAAAGGCTTGTTAAGAAAATGGAATGTAATGAAATGAACTAAAAAAAATTGCAACTTTTGTAAGAATTTTTTGTTACATCTTAGACGACTAAATAATACTAGTATAACTTTAGTATTTTATTTGAACTATATAAACATTCTGTTAATCAAATTCACATTAATTGTTGATTAGGATAGTAGTGATAATTATATTTGTCAAGCAATTTTCACAATTTGTGAAGAAAAAAACAATTCAGAGGGGGATGTTGATCACAAAAGAAACGGATATTGATCGACCGGAGGTGGGGAGTCTTGAAAACGCAAAAATAATTGAAAGAATATATGTTTATTCTACTATAATCAACAATTAAGTAAATAAAATAGATTTTACCATTACTTTAAAAAATTAAGTGAAATTCATGCGTTCAATATGCTTCATTGTACTAATAATTTTCAAAATAAACCATTGTAGGTCTTTTCAGCCGTAGAATTAAAAACTCGACCAACATTTGCTCCTTCTCAACCTGATTATCATATATGTCTTGTCTACTCAATCTTCTTCTGTAGCTTACCGTAGAAACATGGCCAGCATTTAGCCTTAATTTGACAGATACAAACCATGACTC